AAACTCCAAGCAAACCTTGTGGTCCGTTCAATTCTAGAAGTCTCTTCTGCCTTCTAATTTATTGCTAATTATATTTCTCTGCTTTTTTATGACTTTTCCAGATGGAGAATTCTCTAAAATATCTTCAGGCCATACTTTAGTCCCTGGATCCTCAAGAGTGCAATAATGTACAGTCTGCAGGGCACTGTAAGAGGTCAGCGAGAAGTCCCCTGGTGTTAACAGCTTGAGTAATACTGTTTTCTCCTTTACACCACATCATTAAATTGCTTTCATTATCCATAAAGTAATTCTTTATTTCACAGTAAATGAGATCTGACACTAATTCAAATAGGCTAATTTCAACCTAACAAAATAATTTATTCCTAATAACTAAAGAAACAAGACAATGACAAAAAATTTGCAAACACTTGTTATGATAAACGAGGGATCTGCAAACATTATATAGAAAATATGTGTTACAAGAAATATGCGTGAGTTTAAAAAATTTTACACCAAAATAAAGTTATCTTTTGATTCCATTTTCCATTAACTTTCTGAAGTATTCTCATGAAGAAGAGAAAAAACACGGCTTTAAAGATGGATCCTGGGGTCAGCGCTGTGGCTCACTTGGCTGATTCTCTGCCTGTGGCACCGGCATCCTGTATGGGTGCCGAGCTCTAGTCCCGGCTGCTCCTCTTTGGTTCCAGCTCTCTGCCGTGGCCCGGGGAAGGCAGTGGAGGATGGCCCGAGTGCTTGGGCTCCTGCACCCACATGGGAGACCTGGAGGAAGCACCTGGCTCCTGGATTTGGACTGGCATAGCTCCAGCCATGGTGGCCATTTGGGGGGTGAACCAACAGAAGGAAGACCTTTCTCTTTCTCTCCCCCTAACTCTATCTGTCAAATAAATTTTAAAAATATGGATCCTACCAGAGCAAAGAATGATGCTACATGATAATTTACAAGGGAGAGGCCAGCAGATAAGAAGCAAGAAGCCTAAAGATTCTCCAAATGCACCAAAATGCTGCCCTTCCTGAAGTGCAAGCTGACTTGAAGCAGAGGAATGAAATTTCCTTTCCAAGTTAGAACAAATGCACCCATTAGCATTAAGTTATTTTTTTAAGGATTTATTTTATTTGAAAAAGTTAGAGAGAGGTCAAGCCAGAAAGAGAGAGAGAGCCAGAGAGAGAGAGAGAGAGAGAGGTTTCCAACAGCTGGTTCACTCCCCCATGACTGCAATGGCCAGTGCTGAGATGATCCAAAGCCAGGAGCCAGAATCATCTTCTGGGTCTCCCAAATGGGTGTAGTGCCCCAAGGACTCGGGCCATCTTCTACTGCTTTCCCAGGACTTAGCAGAGAGCTGGATCAGAAGTGGAGCAGCTGGGACATGAAGCAGCACCCATATGGGATGCCAGTACTGTAGGCCAAGACTTTAACCTGCTGTGCCACAGCGCCAGCCCCAGCATCAATTTCTTATAGGACCATCCCCTTGTCCTTCTGAGACTCTGCTCCATACCAGTGAAAAGACACAGTTTTACCTTCTAAGCTACACACAGATTTAGCGAGAGCCTCCAGAGCACCATGGGTTGCTGTGCCACCCTGGCATCCCAGGAAGATCACACAGTCCCAGCAGGAAGTACTCAGCTCCACCCTGAGGCAGCACTCATAAATCCACCATGCATGTCTGCAATCACAGTTGGATATCCAAGTGGTCACACAGATCCAAGGAACTCTGTTACATGTTTTCTGGCCTCTGGACACTCAGAAGTCAACTCAGTACAACATTTCCAGAGGTCAGAGCCTCTACACCTAGGACCAAGCAGCTCAGAACATGTCCTGGGGGTTGGGGCAGTAACCATCCCAAGGCAGGAAAGGTTCAAGTTGCACATAAAGTCCTGACCTCCTGTCCAAGATCCATTTGTGGAGCTCTTAAGGTGACCTTAGTTATAAGGGGGCTGTTTTGGATGCAACATTTCTCTCTTTTTTTTTTTTTTTGACAGGCAGAGTTAGACAGAGAGAGAGAGACAGACAGACATACAGACAGGTCTTCCTTTCCTGTTGGTTCATCCCCCAAATGGCCGCTATGGCCGGCGCGCTGCGCTGATCTGAAGCCAGGAGCCAGGTGCTTCCTCCTGATCTCCCATGCAGGTACAGGGCCCAAGCACCTGGGCCATCCTCCACTGCCTTCCCGGGCCACAGCAGAGAGCTAGACTGGAAGAGCAGCAACCAGGACAGAATCCAGTGCCCCAACCAGGACTAGAACCCGGGGTGCCAGCACCACAGGCGGAGGATTAGCCAAGTGAGCCACGGCCCTGGATGCAACATTTCTATCATTGGCCTTGTGTGAAACTTGATTGCCAGGCTCAGAGCAGGAATACAGCAGGAACAGACTGTCCCCTGACTCATTTGTGAACACAGTTCTGACAGTGTGGTACCATAGAAGCACTAAGCGGAGTCGTGGGGACTCAGAATGCTGAGAGAACCTGCAGGAGGTCTCTGCCACACAGCAGCATTCCAGTTCCTCTCAGTGCTCAAGGCCAGGAATGAGGAGCCTTACACCGGAAAAAGATACCAGCCCTAGCTGGAAAAGGAAAATCAGGAGTTTGATCACAAGACAGTATGACTAGCTAGTCCACACAACCCTCAGGGAGCTGACTTAATAAGACATTAAGTCTGCCCAGGTGCCCTGGAGTGTCATACAATTAGACCTGGACGGGTTAAAGCCAATGGGTTATACTCAGTAGCCAGGGATAACCTCATGGGCGTGCAGCCTACATAGTCACATAGGAACAGTCACACAGGGCTGGCACTCAGAAGGGCCTGTACTGGGTTTAAACCTCTGCTGGTGGTGTCTTAAAAAGCCTCAAAATTTTATCTCTGAACTTGTGTTTTGTAAGCAAGTCAAAAGAACATGAGTCTGAGCCAAGGAGATACATGGAAGAAAGGAAAGAGCTTTATGTTTTAGTATCTTTAGTGGCACTTTACCGCTGCCTTTGGAACAAGGTGCTCACAAAATTGTGCAGCAGGCCCAGTTAGCAGTGGTGAGGTAAACCCCTCACAAGTAGCCAGCCACACTTTGAAGGAAGAACTATTCAGGGATGGGCTTTTGGTATAGCAGCTAAGCCACTACTGGAATCCCCACAGCCCATGAGAGTGCCCAGGATCAAGTCCTGGCTGAAGTCCTGATTCCAGCTTCCTACTACTCCAACCTGGGAGGCAGCAGGTGATGGCTCAAGTACTTACATTCCTGCTATTCACATTGGAGAGTTGGATTGAGTTCCCAGACCCTGGCTTTACATACCTTTCCAGCTTTTGTGGGCATTAGGGAAGTAAACTAACGCATGAAATATTTCTTTCTTCTTTTGAAATAAATAATAAAGAATAATAAAAAAAAAGTCTAATCACCAGGGACCTTGAGGACTCCTCAAACCCTCTGGTCCTAACCCTACCAGCAAATCTCCTTTCATACCTCAGGGTCCCTCTTAAAAGTCAGTTCCAGTCCCAGGGTGGCAAGGTGCCCTCCTCAGACTCTCCCAACAGCTCAAGACTCCCCACTGGTGTGTACCAGGACACAAGACCTATATTAACAAATCACGGCATGAGGCCATTGCATTAGGAAGAAGGGTCCTTAGTGACACAGCTCAAGTCCCTGTAGTTATGCTGCACACAAAGACAAGCCCAAAGACTAGGACCACTGGTTTTTACCAGCTACCACCTCTCTGATACCCCAACTCTGGAACTGCTGGAAGCTGAGGTTCCAACCCCAGGAGGGACACAACTCTGGAGCAAGCACAGCATGATTTAAACTGGAACTTCATTGATCTCTATAGATGGCCTAGGGCTGGTTCCCACTTCCTTTAACTCATATTTCTTTTTTTGACAGGCAGAGTGGACAGTGAGAGAAAGGTCTTCCTTTTGCCATTCCAATGGCCGCCACGGCTGGCGCACCGCGCTGATTTGAAGGCAGGAGCCAGGTGCTTATCCTGGTCTCCCATGGGGTGCAGGGCCCAAGCACTTGGGCCATCCTCCACTGCACTCCCGGGCCACAGCAGAGAGCTGGCCTGAAGAGGGGCAACCGGGACAGAATACGGTGCCTTGAGTGGGACTAGAACCCGGTGTGCCAGCGCTGCAAGGCAGAGGATTAGCCTATTGAACCGCGGCACTGGCCCTTAACTCCTATTTAAAAGGGTATCAGTGGTGCCTTCCTCACAGAGTTTTGAAGAGGATTAGACAGGACAATGTGGTATAATTAAATAAAACTCTTGCTTCCCCTCCTTGTGTTGTTATTTAGAAATGAGACAATGGTACATTAAGAAGCCTGACCACTGAAAGTGCTTCATTAATGCTGATTCTCTTAAACATCCCTTCTTGTCCCTCCTACCTTTATTCCTGTAAACAGACCTTTCTATAACCAACAGTTCCTGTCCCAAGATCCAACAGTGAGTGCATTGTTAGTTCTGCATAAGCTGAATTCCAACTGTGTACCAGGGACTACAGGAATGAAAGCAGAGAGACAAAGTCCTGCCCTGGACAAGCTCACAGTTTTATACAGGATATAGGTATTTAGCAAATAAATGGTGATGAAATGGGTAAGCAATTTACATGTATAGGTAGTGTGTTACAGAAGCTCTGGATACTTAGTTCTGCTGGGGGGAATGAGAGAAAAGTATCATAGAGAAGGAAGACACCCATATGGCATGCTGGTACTGCAGGCGGCAGCTTCATCCACTATGCCACTGTTCTGTTGGCCACCCCACCCCCACCCGCAGGCTGTTCCCACTTGTGATCCAGATGTATGCTGAAATGCCTAGAAAAGCAGAGGATGCACCCCAAGGACTTGGTCCCCTGAACCCACTCTGGAGTACTGGATAAAGTACCTGGCTTATGCTCCCGCCTGGCCCAGCCCTGGTAATGTAGTCACCTGGGGGGTGAACCCATACACGAAGATCTCTCCCACACCTCCTCATCTATAATTCTGCCTTTCAAACCAGTATTTAAATAGAAAAAAATATCTAGTACTTACTATGAGGTGTCAGAATCTTGGGACAGCCTGGAACACAGCACAGAGGGATTCTTGGCATTTCTCTAAGCTTCTGCTTTCTCCTTCGTGTGTGCAGCCTGTGAAAATTCACCGGATTATGTGCCAATTAATTAGAGCACCCCCGTGCCCCTGTTTTCCTGCACACACACCTTATACTTCCTAACAACCTGGAGAAGAGAGGCTGTGAGTCAAGTCCTCCTCTCAAGGACGCAGCAAAGGCTACTTCCGGCCAGGGACAGAAAACTCCCAAGACAGAACCGGGCCTGTGGGAAAAGTTCTACCTCTCCCAATCCCCACCACCACATACGCCCACCAGCACTCCTGTCACTCTCCCCCTCCCTTTCCTCTCCCCCACACGGGTTTCTGCCCCTCCCTACCTTGCCTCCCCACCTTCATGCCACCTTTTCATTCTCCCCCCTTCCTCTCTCCGCTAGCCTGCTCTTAACACCCACTCTTCTCCACCTTCTATCTCAGCTACCCCTCACACACATGCTCCCCACTCACTGTCCCCCGGGCCCCTCCTACCCAGTGACAGGAAGGCCACCATGCCAAACTCTACACAGAAAGAGCATTTCTGTTCCTCTGACACAGGAATCCAGACCTGAGGTGTAGTCTTTCAGAGGGGCCAAAGAAGAGGACTGTGCCTAGAAAGTTCCAGAAGCACAAGATAACTGAGTGGCTACCTCACCACAGTTTCACCTAATCCTGGCTTGACCCTGGGGGGGTGGGGGGGAGAGGCACTGTATCTCCTCAGGCTCAGCCACCAGCATCGAAATCAGCAACTCAGGGCTTGCATAAGCTCTGAGCTGGGGCAGACACGACGCTGACTCCCACCAGAGCACCGTGCAGAAGAAACAGATGCACCTGCGGGTGCACTTCTGGGTCACAGTGCTGGGCTCAGGCACACTCCTCACCGGTGACCGACAGGGCACCAAGGGATGCAGCTATGCCCTGATGCCCCAGGACCACTTCCATTCCTGCCTCATCAGGCTGTGACCCAGGGCGGCAGCCACTTACGGCCCAGGCACTCTGGACCCAGTCACCCTGTCTAGTGGGAGTCCTGAATGGAGCTCCTGCCTCCTGGTTTCTGCCTGGACCAGCGCTGGCCCTTGCTGCTGCTTGGGAAGAGCAGCAGTGCAAGCAGCATCGTGAGCACTCTTTCTCACTCTGAGTGATCATCCATCTGGGGGTTCACCCCCCAGGTGACTACAAAGGCCAAGGCTCAGCCAGGCCAAAGCAGAAGCCAGGGACTTTATCCGGTGCTCAATTCTGGGTTCAGGGTCCTAAGACCTTGGGCCTTCTCCCTCTGCTTTCCCAGGAATGTTAGCAGACAGCAGCATTCCATGGGCAATGGCTTCTGGAGGACCTGGCATTGTGGGGTAGTGGCTATAGCCACCACCCACATCGCGCATCCCATCTAGGCACCAGTTCGAGTCCTGGATGCTGCACTTCTGATGTGGCTCTCTGCTGTGGTTTGGGAAGGCAGTAGAAGATGGTCCAACTCCTTGTGCCCTTGTACCCATGAAGGAGACCACGAGGAGGTTCTGGGCTCCTGCTTTTAGATCTCCTCTGCTCTGGCCATTGCAGCCAAATAGGAAGTGGAACAGCAGATGGAAAACCTATGTATCTGTCTGTCTGTCTGTCTCTCTCTTTCTCTCTCTCACTCTCTCTGCCTCCCATCCTCTCTGTGTATGTCTGAATTTCAAATAAATAAATATTTAAGAAAAAGTAAAAATTAAAAAAGGAAGACATAGCTGTAAATAAAATACAGGCCAACTACTAGAGTTTATTTACAAGTGATACTATAGGTATTGCATACCCAATTAACACAGAATTTGAAAAAGAATTTAAATCAGTCTTAGAAAAGATTCTAGTACCCATTCATTCTCTTCTTCCTTACAAACATTCCGTGTGGCATTATCTCTGACTTACGCATGAGGAAATCTTTGTAATTTATTTATTCAGACACGTATGTACCCACTCACACAAGGACTTGAAACACCTGTGATCTACAGAGTTCTCCATGGAACACAGGTCTACTTCCCAGACACCACCCTGCACAGTCTAGCCCTGCATTTAAAGTACGGATCATGTTGGAAAAAGGCCAAATCACATGTCCCACAAAGCAAGAGAGAATACAGAAAGGTAGCATCTGAGGTCACTATTCACATGCACACGATCATGTTGGTACTTCTTCTCTAATTTCTCATTGTAGGTACAAATTGGGAGGGAGGAAGTCCAACTATCCCTAATTGCAGATGACATAATTCTATATATAGGAGATCCAAAAGACTCCTCTAAGAGACTACTGAAATTCAGAGTAGAGTTAGGTAATGAGCCAGGATAAAAAATCAAGTCTTTATATACACAGACAATGTCATGGCTGAGAAAGGACTTCAAAGACCAATCCCATTCACATAGCTACAAAGAAAATAAAAAGCTTGGAATAAATTTAACCAAGGATGTTCAACATCTGGGAATCACAAAAGATTAAAGAAAAAGATAGAAGAGGACACCAAAAAAAATGGAGAAGCTTCTGCCCTGCAAAAGAAAACACTCAGCCAAGTAAAGAGGCAACTAACGGAATGGGAGAAATTATATGCAAAGTATGCAACTGATAAAGGATAAACTAAACTACAAGAAACTTTCAAAAAATTCAACTACAGCAAAACAAACCACCCACTCAAGAAATGGGCAAGGGGCTTCCACAGGCATATTTCAAGAAAGGAAATCTAGCAGAAACAGTGACTTGATCAGCTCTTGTCCTGACTGTTGATGTACAATGTAATACTTTATCCATTTTAGTATTTTTTTGTTTTGTTCTAGTACTATTGGTTGAACTCTGTAATTAACACACAATTATTCTTACGTGTTTAAATTTTAACTGAAAAGTGATCCCTGTTAAATATAAGAGTGGGAATAAGAGAGGGAGGAGATGTAAAATTCGGGACATGCTCAATCGGACTTACCCCAAATGGTGGAGTTAGAAACGTGCCAGGGGATCCCAATACAATCCCAACAAGGTGGCATGTACCACTGCCATCTCACTAGTCCAAGTGATCAATTTCACTTCACAATTGATCACACTGATAGGTCTAAGAGTCAAAGGGATCACACAAACAAGATTAGTGCCTGCTAATACTAACTGATAGAATAAAAAAGGGAGAGAATGATCCACCATGGGAAGCAGGATACACAGCAGACTCATGGAATGGCAGATGTCCTAAACAGCACTCTGGCCTCAGAATCAGCCCTTAAGACATTTGGATATGGCTGAAGAGCCCATGAGAGTATTTTAGGCATGGAAAGCCAAGACACTCTGGCAAAAAAAAAAAAGAAAGAAAAGAAAAGAAAAGAAAAGAAAAGAAAAGAAAAGAGGAGCTAAATGAAAGATCTCCGCGAGTGAGATCCCAGTAGAAAGAACGGGCCATCAAAGAAGGACATACCTTTCACTGAAGGGAGGAGAAAACTTCCACTTTGACTATGACCCTGTCGGAATAAGATTGAAGTCAGCGAACTCAAAAGGCTTCCAGAGCCTTGGCAACTTATGACTAGAGCCTAGGGAGATTACTGATGCCATAAACAAGAGTGTCAAATTGTTAAGTCCACAACAGGAGTCACTGTGTCCTCACTTCTCATGTGGGATCTGTCCTTAATGTGTTGTCCAATGTGAAATAATGCTATAACTACTGCTGAAACAGTATTTTACACTTTGTATTTCTGTGTGGGTGCAAACCGATGAAATCTTTACTTACTATATACTGAATCGATCTTCTGTATATAAAGATAATTGAAAATGAATCTTGATGTGAATGGAATGGGAGAGGGAGCGGGAGATGGGATGGGTGTACGTGAGAGGGAAATTATGGGGGGGGGGAGCCATTGTAATCCATAAACTGTACTTTGGAAATTTATATTTACTAAATAAAAAAAAAGAAAAAGAAAAAAGAAAAAAAGAAAGGAAATCTAAATGTCCAACAAACACATGCAGAAATGCTCAAGATCACTAGCCATCAGGGAAATGCAAATCGACAGTACAATGGCCTTGAGGATGTGAGGTAAAAGGCACCCTAATCCACTGCTGGTGGGAATGTGAACTGGTATCACCACTGTGGAAGACAGCATGGAGATAAGTCAGAAATCCAAATATACACATACCATAGGAGCCAGCCACATCAGCTCTGGGAATGCACCCAAGGGAAATGAAATCAGCATACAAAAAAAGAGTTCTCTCTGCCCCCATATTTACTACAGCTCAGTTCACAAGAACAAAGATATGCCATCAGCCAAAATGCCGATCACCTCAAGACTGAATAAAGACATTATGGGCTATGGACACCATACATGCGTGTGCAGACTGCATAGCCTGGCTATTGTGCATCCTACTGCAATAAGCATAGGCCTGTGAAAGCCTCTCTGTCTACACAATGATATCGTTTCCTTCAATATGTTCCCAGTAGTGGGTACACCCATACAGTTTTCCATGTTGACAGGACCAATTTCACATGAGAAACTGTATTGCTCCACAGGTATATATTACAGAATACAGACATCGGATCCATAAACCCAATTTTACCTTCAAACACTAGAACAGCAAAGTAAATCTTAAGAAACTGTAAGCAGGAAAACGATTCAAACGGAAATAAAGTCAATGGCATAGAAAATATCACAACAAAAATTCAGTGAGACCAAAATACAGTTCTTGAAAACTCAGTGAAACTGACAAATGAGGAAATAGGAGGAAAAAGGAGAACAGACTCAAGTGACTTGACAACAGAAATGACAGAGAGGACATCACTACCAACCTTGCCAAAATAGTAATCCAAAAATACTAGGGAAAAACCAGGCACGGAGATTTGGTCAACCTAGATAGAGTGGCTTGATTCTCAGAAAGATTCAAACCGCTAAAACTGAATACAGTAAAACAAGAAACTCTGAATACACTTATAATTTGAAAAGAGACTGTAGTTGCAGGGAAACAGAGACAAACAAAAAAGACAAGAAGAAAAGTCCAGGACCAGATGGCTCCACAGGTGAGAACTCCACTTAAAAGATAATTAAAATCCGTGATTCGCACACCCTCCCAAAAAGGGGATGAAGAGGAAAAGCCTTCCATTTCATTCCATCAGACCAGCATTATCCCAACATCCCAAACAAGCACATCACAAAGAAAATGGCACACAAATATCCGTCGTGAATGTGTCACATGCCTCAACAAAATATGACCAGATGCCATCCAGAAGCACAACCAAAGCTTAGCACACTGTGTGCAACTGAGAGTTACTCCGGAAATGCAAGGATGCAATTCTACCATACAAAATCAATCTATCACAGAACAGACCAAACATGGGGAAAACCCACAAAGTATCCCGACAGACACAGAAAACCTATTCCACAAAAACTCCTGTGACTTTTGCGATACTAAAAAACAAATCATCAAATTAGGAACGGAAGGTACACCTCGGCCTGACAAGGCTCGTTCATGAAAAACCCACAGAGCGCTAACATCACACCCAATGCCAGGAACCCGAAACTGTCCTCCTAGACCAGGACACAGACACGCACTTTCGCTCTCATTCCTCCCGACAACAGTCTCAGAGGTCTAGAGCAGGGCGGCTGGGCCCTCAAAAAGCAAACAGACGGGAACGCGGGTCCTTCCGGGAGGAGACCCAGCCACCTCTGCTCTCGCACAGCTGCTTGCACCCTGGGGACCCTTCCAGACCGTCCGCACTGCATGACCGCGACTCCACCCGCGCCTTCGGGACCCCAGAGCAACAGGCACGCCTGCAGCCAAGACCCCCAGCGGGACACCGCAACAGCTGCGCGTCACTCACCTCCAAGGGGCCCGGTCTTCTGGTAGCACAGAGGTCCGCCAAGGCCGTTGCTTCCGGAAGGGGCCAAAGAAGAGAAATGCGCCTCGGAAATGGCGCGGAAGCCTTGGACCCGCACCCTCTCCAGATGCCGGCCTGACGCTGGGGCCGCTGGGTCTCCCTCAGGCTTGGTCAGCAGTATCAAGGAGGGCTCCTCTCCCCACCACTTGCGTGGGCTCTCGGGCAGGAGCAGACACAGCGCTGACCCCCAGCGGAGCACCGCGGGGCAGTCGGCGCCAGGTGTGTGGGTGCACTTCCCGGTCACAGCGCCAGGCCCAGGTGCAGGCGCACTCCCCACGGGTCGTCACCATGGCACCCCAGGACGCATCTCCACACTGCTGCATCCACGCGGTGACCCAGGGACGTAGACGCTGATAGCCCACGTTCTCTGGAGCCCACCCTCATTGTAATCCATAAGCTGTACTTTGGAAATTACATTCATTAAATAAAAGTTAAAAAAAATTTAAAAGAATAACAATACTCACTTTTAACTTGCTTCCCAGGTAGGACCTCTGTCCCTATTGAATAGTAATATGAGAATTGACTGCAAATTCTCTCCCCAAACTGTACTTTATATGTTGTATGTTGGCGTGGGTGCAAATTACTGAAGTCTATGATTAGCATAGAATTGGTTTTCTATATATAAAGTCATACTAAAAATGATCCATAATGAAAAACGAGATGGGAGAGAGAATGGGAGCCGGGATGGGGGTTGGAGGGATATGGGGAAAGAACCACTATAGTCCTAGAGTTGTATCTATGTAAAAATGTATTCATTAAATAAAAATAAAAATTTGACGTTTCTCTCTTGCACAGTAGACTCATAGAATGGCAGATGTCCTAAAGAGCACTCTGGCCTCAGAATCAGCCCTAAAGGCATTTGGATCCGGCTGAAAAGCCCATGAGAGTATTTCAGGCATGGAAAGCCAAGACATTCTGCCAAAAAAAAAAAAGACCTAAATGAAAGATCTCTGCGAGTGAGATCCCAGTGGAAAGAACAGGTCTTCAAAGAAGGAGGTACCTTTCTCTGAAGGGAGGAGAGAACCTCCACTTTGACTATGACCTTGTCTAAATAAGATAAGAGTCGGAAAACTCAAAAGGCTTCCATAGCCTTGGAAACTCATGACTGGAGCATAGGGAGATTACTGATGCCATAAACAGGAGTGTCAATGTGTAAAATCAACAACAGGAGTCACTGTGCACTTACTCCTCATGTAGGATCTCTGTCCTTAATGTGCTGTACATTGAGATTTAATGCTATAATGAGTACTCAAACAGTATATTTCACTTTGTGTTTCTATGTGGGTGCAAACTGTTGAAATCTTTACTTAATGTATACTAAACTGATCTTCTGTATATATAGAAAATTGAAAATGAATCTTGATATGAATTGAAGGGGAGAGAGAGCGGGAAAGGGGAGGGTTTCGGGTGGGAGGGAAGTCATCGGGGGGAGGGGGAAGCCAATGTAGTCCATAAGCTGTACTTTGGAAATCTATATTCATTTTTTAAAAGTTAAAGAATGCAAATCAATTCTACAACGACCTTGAGCATGTGAGGGAAAAGGCACCCTAATCCACTGCTAGTGGGAATGTGAACTGGTATTGTATTGCTCTACAGGTATATATTACAGAATACAGACATCAGACCCATAAACCCAATTTTACCTTCAAACACTAGAACAGCAAAGTAAATCTTAAGAAACTGGAAGCAGGAAAACGATTCAAACGGAAATAAAGTCAACAGCATAGAAAATATCACAACAAAAATTCAGTGAGACCAAAATACAGTTCTTGAAAACTCAGTGAAACTGACACTACGTTTATACACATGAAACAAGCAAAAAAGAGAACAGCATCAAGTGACTTAACAAGGGAAATGACAGAGAGGACATTACTAACAACCTTACTAAAATAATAATCAAAAAACACTATGGGAAAACCAAGGCACAAGAATTTGGTCAACCTAGATAGAGTGGATTGATTCTCAGAAAGAAATAAACCCCAAAAATGATTGTAGTCAAACTAGAAACTGTGAATATACTTTTAAATTGAAATGAGACTGTATTAGCAGGGAAACAAAAAAAAAAAAAAAAAAAGAAACACAAAAAAAATGAATAAAATTCCAGGACCACAAGGCTTCACCAGTGAGAACTCCAGTTACAGGGTAATTAAAATCCATGATTCACAAATCCTTCCAAAAAGTAGATTAAGAGGGAAAACATCCAATTTTCTTCCATCAGAACAGCATTATCCCAACATCGAAAACAAACACATAATAAAGTAGCATATAAATATCTGTCATGAATCTGTCACAATGCTGAACAAATTGCAAAATGTGATCCAGAAGCACAACCAAAGCTTAGCTCACAGTGCTCAACTGAGAGTTACTCCAGGAATTCAAGGATGACTACCACACAAAATCAACATATCACAGAACAGAATCAACAAGAGAAAAGCCCACACATTATCCCTACAGACACGGAAAAACTATTTCACAAAAACTTCCATACTTTCTCCGATATTTAAAAAAAAATCATCAAATTAGGAACGGAAGGTACACCTCGGCCTGACAAGGCTCGTTCATGAAAAACCCACAGAGCGCTAACATCACACCCAATGCCAGGAACCCGAAACTGTCCTCCTAGACCAGGACACAGACACGCACTTTCGCTCTCATTCCTCCCGACAACAGTCTCAGAGGTCTAGAGCAGGGCGGCTGGGCCCTCAAAAAGCAAACAGACGGGAACGCGGGTCCTTCCGGGAGGAGACCCAGCCACCTCTGCTCTCGCACAGCTGCTTGCACCCTGGGGACCCTTCCAGACCGTCCGCACTGCATGACCGCGACTCCACCCGCGCCTTCGGGACCCCAGAGCAACAGGTGCACTGACAGCCAAGACCCCCAGCGGGACACCGCAACAGCTGCGCATCACTCACCTCTAAGGGGGCCTGGTCTGCTGGCGGGACAGCCATTGCTTCCAGAAGGGGCTGAAGAAGAAA